GACTGTACCATGCCAATGATCATAGATGTCGAGGTATTAACCCAATAAAAAAAAAATAATATTTTTTTTATTTTAGGAAAGGTGCGCCTCTCAACGAAAAGAACAAAGACTTTTTAACTCCTCTACATTTAGCAGCCGATAGTTCCCATTACGATCTGATGGACGTTTTATTAAGGCACGGAGCCAAAGTAAACGCTTTAGACGGTCTTGGACAAACAGCTCTTCACAGAGCTGCTAGAGAGGACAACGTTCAGGCTTGCAGAATTTTATTGAGTTACAGTGTAGATGCAACGATTGTATCTTTGCAAGGTTATACTGCTACCCAGGTGGCAGGTGAAAATGTTCTCAAGATACTCCAAGGTTAGTAACCATGTGAAATAAATAAAGTTTGTGAAATAAGAATATTGGGCTTTCAGCATTTTTCATAAAAAAATTTTAGTGGAGCTTTTAAAGCTTTTAAGTGAAATCTCCAGCTTAAATAAATTGGTGTTCACTGAACCATATAAAATGCAGCAGTAATTGATAACCCTTATTAAATGGGAATAAGCCACAATTAAAGGTTAAAGTACGTTTATTCACGTTTCAATTTCCACTTCGGAAATCGTTCTCAAAATACAAACAGTAAATTAAACAAATTTTGTTTTTTTTTGTTACTTAGTGAAAAGTTCTTCTAATAAATTAATTTTATCTGATTCATTTATATTGACAATTCAGACATACTTTAAAATGATATTGCCAATATTGTTGAATTGCGCTCTTGGGACGACTTTACTTATAAGATAGTTCATTCGATTACTTGAAATTGACTTTACTTTACTACTTTAACTTGAGAGTATCGGTCAGAAAAAATCATAGCATGTAATTCGTCTTTAAGACAAACATATGCTATGATGGCAGTAAAATTCTCCTGTTAGTGATTCCACAGTAAATTATGAGGGAAAATCCAGGAAAAAAGCTTAATAATACTATCCCGACATGGTAGTATATATATATATATATATATATATATATATATATATAATTATATATATATATATATATATATATATATATATATATATATATATATATATATAGGCCGATCAGATACCAGCATATTGTAGACTAAGCCGCAGATTCATTTAGAATTTTAAACTGCTGTGTTAGCCTTTTTGTTTTCTGTACACCGAGCTGGGAATTGAACTGACATCTCTCGCATTGAAGCGAAGGAGAAGCCAGCCGCCCAGCCCGCTTGGATATCCGATCGACATAATCGTTTGTTATTTAAAAAACATAAATGATGTATCCTCTATATGTTACTGACTTACTAATATTGGTATTTCCCTTTTAATAACTACCTCTTTCAATATGGGTAACCCGATCCTACTACATTCTGCCGAAAAATTTGCGACACAATTGGTCTCATTTAGCATAATTAGAGCTGCTTCTTTGATTTTTCTCTTTTTACCATCCGTTTCTTTTAGGACTATATTTGAATCATTCCATTGAACCCTATGTTCATTACACGCATTCCTATGCGTGTTTACATATTTGAGATCTATAAAATTCTCTATTTTTAATATAAAATTTATGTTCACTTATTCTAACATTCAATGGCCTTGGTGTCAATCTAATTGATTCATCATCATCATCAATCAGCCAATCGCGTCCACTGCTGGACATAGGCCTCCCTCAGTTATTTCCAGTGTTCTCTACACTGGGCCGCTTGTAGCCAGTTTCCCGCTACACGTTTAATGTCATCGGTCCATCTAGTCGGTGGTCGTCCTCGGCTACTTTTTATAATTTATGGGCCTCCATTCCATAATACGTCTTGTCCACCGTCCATCTTGTGTTCTGGCTAAGTGCCCTGCCCAGTTCCACTTAAGCGTCGTGGTTCTTTCGATGACGTTTTGAACTCCTGATCTTCGCCTGATTTGTTGGTTTGTTATGTGGTCTCGAAGGCTCACGTTCAGCATTGCACGTTCCATGGCTCGTTGTGTAACTCTAAGTTTATTCGCAGATTTTTGCGTGAGTGTTAAAGTCTCTGCTCCATAAGTTTGTACAGGTAAAACACATTGGTTATAAACCTTTCGCTTGAGACACATGGGAATTGAACTTTTTAGAATATGGCTTAATTTGCCAAATGCTGCCCATGTTAGACCTATTCGCCTCTGTATTTCATGTGTTTGATTGTCTCTGCTTATTTTGATTTCGTGTCCCAGATATTTGTAAGTGTCTGTTTGTTGTATGGTATTATTGTCAATAGTTATATTTCCACTCATTACGAGATTTGTTATAATTTTAGTTTTCTCAAAGTTTATCTTTAATCCTGCTCTTTCAGACAGACTTTTAAGCGAATGCATCATAGAAGCTGTATCATGTAAGTTATCTGCGATTAATACAACATCATCTGCAAACCTTAGGTGATTTAATCTTTTTCCATCTATATTGATGCCCATATCTTGCCATTGAGTACACTTAAATATTGACTAATTGATTACCATCAATCTTATATTAAAAATAGAGAATTTGGTAGATCTCAAATATGTAAACACACATGCGATAATGAACATAGGGTTCAATGGAATGATTCAAATATAGTCTTAAAAGAAACGGATGATAAAAAGAGAAAAATCAAGGAAGCGGCTCTAATTAAGCTAAATGAGACCAATTGTGTCGCAAATTTTTCGACAAAATGTAGTAGAATCGGGTTACCGATATTGAAAGAGGAAGTTATTAAAAGGGAAATACCAGTATTAGTAAGTCAGTAACATATAGAGGAAACATCATTTATGTTTTTTAAATAACAAACATATAAAATCAGAATTTAAAAATACTTACCATGTCGGGATAATATTATGTTTTTTTTCCTGGTTTTTCCCTCATAATTTACTATGGATTCACTAACAGGAGAATTTTACTGTCATACTGACGGATATTCTCAAGTTAAAGTTGATTTCATGTAATCGAATGAACTATCTTATAAGTAAAGTCGTCACAGGAACGCAACTCAACAATATTGGCAATATCATTTTAAAGTCGTCTACTTTAAAATGTATAATGTATGTCTGAATTGTCAATATAAATGAATCAGATACAATTAAATTATTAGAAGAACTTTTCACTAAGTAACATAAAAACAAAATTTGTTTAATGTACTAATGTTTGTATTTTGAGAACGATTTCCGAAATGGAAATTGAATCGTCAATAAACGCACTTCAACCTTGAATTGTGGCTTATTCCCATTTAAATAGTAATTACTTTAAAATGTTACAAGAAAATAGCTTCAGAACAATATTGATAACCATTATATTTATTTGCATTGGCTCGAGGGGGCTTATCATTTCCAAGAGTGTATAAAAAAAGGATTTTTTCTCTCTTTAGGGTGATTTTCGAATTTAGATATTCTAATCGCATAAATCAAGTATTATCTCAAGAAAATAAAATTAAATCGGTGAGAACTATTTTTAGATAATGTAAATACTTAATAAAATACTCCTATTTTTGAAAGTATTTTTGATACTTGAGCCTTGGAGCACATTAAGAAATCAAAAAAATCCCTGATAGATCTAATTATTAGATCCATTTTAGATCCGCTTTAAATTAAATAGATTGTAAAATTGTACAATAAATATTACTCAATTGATTAGTGTCTGCTTTATAATTTATTACATTTTTGAAGTGGATACCTCTTATCGCTCGGTATGATGTGTTTGCACTGGCCCAAAATCATAGTTAGCGTACCTAGAAATAAAATTATACAAAATTAAATAAAATTATATAAAATTAATTAAAATTAAATCAAATTAAACAAAATAAAATGAAACTAAATAAAATTACATAAAATTAATTAAAATCAAATCAACTCGAATAAAATGGAATTGAATCAAATCAAATAAAACAAAATAAAATAAATCAAAATCCAACGAGACGATAAGAAAGGTATGTTTTCTCTCCTCGGTCACTCCCAGAGTGCCACGTCCTGTTTTTTTTTTTAATTCATTATAATGAAATCTAATGATAACCAAAATGAAGTAATTAAACATAAATACAAAATAATAATAAAAATGTAAATGATGAATAATTTATAGGTATACCTATTATATTTAACAAATTTTGAAAATTACTAAAATCACTAAACAAAATTTTTAAAGAAAAAATTAAAATGTTTTAAACTTTAAAGAACTTAAATCTGTGGTGTTATCATTAAAAAAAAAATAACAATTCAGTAAGCATACATACAATTTCATTCAGGGGAGGGGAAGGGTTTATTTTCAATATTTTAAACATATTTTTTAGGTTTTTTTTTTGAAAAATTGTTTAATATAAATTTATTTATAAGATTAGTACATTATAGTACAACATTTCAAGAGTATTATCTGGAACTTTATTTTAATAAAATAATATAGATAGATAATCAAGAGTATTATCTGGAAATGACAGCTAATTTTCGAAGATGAAAAAAAAGTTACTTTGCGGTATGCATCATAACTTATAACTGGATCATCTTAAAAAAAAATAAAAACAAAAAGACTTCGTTAGTTTATGAGTTTTTTTTTTAGAAGAAAAAAAGAGACATTTTTTGAATTTATAACAACAAAATGGACAGTATCTCCACGTTGCGACCTAGTAATTTATCTATAAAAGAAGTGTGCAAATTTGAGAACAATCGATCAAGTAGTTTTTGAGATATTCAGTATTCAGTAACAACATCAAATTTCATTAACTCACATTTGTGATAACGCGTTATAAGAAGTATTCACTTCTGTGGGCACTCCATAAGTGCCATGAGCCGTTTTTCGACAAACAGCTTGTTTTGTAATTATTTATTGTCTGTTGAACATTATTATAATCAAACTGGTGACCTATGTTCTTAAAATATATATAGCGCATATATTTTTACCTTTACGACAGTCACTGTGTTGTTTTAGCCATTGACTTGTCTGGCCAAAATAGCTAGATTACAAAAAAAAATCTTTTTACTCAATAATATAGAACTTTTTTTTATACTTTTTCAGATCCTCCTACAGGAAGCGCTGATGTTGAATGCCAAGTTCTCGAATCCGCTAAATCTGGAGATATAGATCAAGTTCAAAGACTGCTCGGATCCTATCCTCATATAGTGAATTGTCGTGATTTGGATGGGAGACACTCAACTCCGCTACATTTTGCCTCTGGTTATAACAGAGTAGCTGTAGTAGAATTCTTGTTGCAGCAAGGAGCTGATGTTCATGCCAAAGATAAAGGGTAAAAAACTGCATATATAAATTTTTAAATCTCTAATTATATTCAAAATTAATAATTTGCCACATATCCTTAATTATACTTGATTCACTCAGTTGAGTCCCCGCAAGTAGCTTAGTCATTAATTTTTGTTATGTAGATTAAGTCGTAACATCAGCAAGAAATGCTTAGAGCTGGTATATAACCGAGTAAATGAAGCAATTACTCGTAGTCAATATTAACTGCAACTTGAAATTAAAATCTTCACGTGCAGTTTATTAACAAAATAAAACTGAGTAAATTAAAACATGAATAAATTATGCGTGAATACATCGACATAAACAGCCTATTTATACATTTCAAAGAAGTGTTTGACATAAAATCTATATAAAAAAGTGGTTCTCACGACATACCTAAAAAAATTGTCACATTGTCAACTTACTCTCCGTGACACCAAAGCAGTCGTAAGAATAGAAAATCTGAAGATTGTTAACATAAATATTAATAACGATGTAATACAAGAAGATGCCTCTACTGTTTAGCCTTTCGCTTCGAGCAGTTGCATCCATATTAATGTTCACATAAATATTATAACTAGTAGCCGACAAATTGCCACATATGCCGAATACGTCAGTTTACTATAGCTTATTGAGACAGCACCGACACTTTCGAAGAGTGCGCTAAATATATGTTCATAACAATGAGAAGAAGATACTATGGAAAGTCCATTAAAACGGATCTGAGCTTTGAAAGTATAAGATTTCACATATTGAGAACTCTTAGTAACCGAAAATAATGATATTAGAACAGATAAAGACAAGGATAATGAAAGAACACAAGGAATATTATCCAAACAAAATTTTTTTTCTGAAATGACGAAGATAACCTGAAATATTTCGAGATGGTGCGGAGGAATGGACCTGTTCCATAGCAGAATGATATTTTCAGAATGAGCCAGAAAGGTAAAACACAAGAGATGTCAGGGAATTGAAGCCCACCAAAAATAGACTGTTAGAGAGCGTCGAATATTGTTTAAAAATTTTGTGAGTCTGGAACTGGATAAGAGTTACACATGATAGAGAAAGGAATTGAGTACAGTTGTTGAAGAAGGAAAAACCCACAGAGAATTGTATAGCTGGAGATAAAAAAATGTTTCGGAAGCGTAGGTCATTGTGGGGAGAACAAACTGTAGAATTTTTTCATTGTTGAGGTGCGAAAGGGCATCAGAAGACGTATTTTAACTTACCAAATACTGTCCATACTGTCGTTTGATTTCGTCTGATGGTGTTAGCTCATGTAAAACGAGCTTTTGGTCCAAATATATATTATATATAATAATATATATATATATATATATATATATTCTGTGACTATCTGTATTTTTCCCGACTTCTTCGCGTTTTGTTGCCATTTTTTTTTAATTTGATGTTCAGTTAATGTGGATTTATTTTTCTAAATAAAAAAATGATATGAAATATAATTTTCAAGATTATTATCTTCGTGTATTTTCTCTCTATGTATTTTCTCCTATTTTCAGTGGTTTAGTTCCTTTACACAATGCTTGTTCCTATGGTCATTATGAAGTGACTGAATTGCTGGTCAAACACGGAGCCAGCGTAAATGTTGCTGATTTGTGGAAATTTACACCACTTCATGAAGCAGCGGCCAAAGGAAAATACGAAATTGTCAAGTTACTATTAAAGGTAAGAAAAAGTAAATGTGAAAAAAGTAAAATTTTTAATTTTAAATACATCCATTGTCATCGACCTACAGTATCAACATTATCTAATGTAAAATGTGACACTTTACCAACCCAAACATGGAAGTCTTATAGACACCATATTTATATAGTTAGCAACAAATACTAGGCACTGAAGATGATCCGTAGTGATCGAAAACGTTCTGCCAGAACTTTAAATGTGACGACACTTTTTTAAAAAGTTTTAACTTGTTTGTTTTATACCTAAATACACATTTGTGAAGTGTTTTAACTTCTGTGTTTTTTTAAACGATGGTATACAGCCAATTACGGGGTTTTTCCCATTAATTTTTTAAAAAGTAAATGATCATAATATATAAGCTAAAACAGCTTTTATTAGAGAGTTATTGAAACCGTACGATGACAGCCGCCTTTATTACAGGAGCCTTTAATACTTCATGTATAAAAGAAAATTATTTCTAACAAGTTAAAGAAATCTTTTATTTTGTCTAACGACATTTTTGTACAATATAAATAACCCATAATTGCTTATAAGATCCTATTTATTTTTTATATAGCTAAACGTTCAATTTAATTAAATTGTTATTTAAAGAATTCTATAATCCATAATACACATCTTACAATGTGAAAGAACTATTAGATATAGCTATATAGTTTAGCTGGCGCAAATGATGAAGAAATAGAGTTGTTACGTATAAATAACATCGGTATAACGTAAAACAATAATCATGAAGATTTATTAATGGAGAATAACAATATTACTAAAAACAATATTCATCAAATAAAACAGAACATACAACAAATTTGATCAAATATCTATATAAATATAAGCGAAGTTAGCTGTATTTCTCCCTTCATGTTTTACTGTTTAGTGTACATTAAATAAGTCGTGCCTATATATCAATCCTCCATTTCGTCGCACCTTTCTCCCATCCAGTTTTCTTGGGCTAATTTTATCTCCCTTTAATTTTTCTTTATACACGTCTATAGTCAACGTTCTTCCATCAAATTTAAGATGTCTTCTGCATTGATTTTTTTTATCAAGTTACTTCTATAATCAATGTTTGTGGAGATTTCGTTAACTTGGTTTTTAAATTCATTTCATAGTTCCTCTGGATCTGCTAATTGTTCTTCGATGCTCTTTATTTTATTGGTAAATTATTTTTTAGTGTTATCTTTAATGCTTATATCGTCAAAAATAAATATTTTAGTTTTTGCCCTTGGATTCGTTTTAACCTTAGTTTAATATCTGCCACAAGGGGTTGATGATCAGATCCAATATCTGCTCTTGGAAATGTAGTGACTGTCTTGACATTTCGGAAGCACTCACTTACAAGTATATCATCTATTTGATTTCTTGATGGCCCAGGGTTGTTGCCATCATCAATCTGTGCTTTCTAAGTATATAGTCGTCACTTAAGTAGTTTATACTAGGTGTTTGCAATGATCATGTTATCTTTACAAAATTAATACAATTTCTGTCCTCGATCGTTAGGTTGTTCAAGACCATAGGGACCTACAGTTTGAACTCGTCGACCTTCCCCAATTATTGTATTGAAGTCACTTATAATATATAAAATTTCGTGTTTATTAAGCTTCCGTAAGATGTCTAGGATTTGATCATAGAACTTTTCGACATATTACTTTATCTGTAGCTGGGACATAGATTTGAAGTATATTGGTTTTGAATGTTTGAGTATATATTTGGAGTAATATTATTCTATCCCAGACTGGTACGAAGTTCTTCGCCCCCTACTTCGTTTTATTTTACGTTGCAGTATAAGCTAAAGAATGTAGTACCCATCGTTTCTCACCAGTTGACCAAAATTTGCCATTTGATCTATTATTATCGTATTATTATTATATTATCTATTGATCTTGAGTCTCTGTTTTTATCTATTCTTTCAACATTTTTGTTGGTAATTTGATGCACTAATGAGATAATCATTATCCTGAGATGACATCCCATTTCGAAACCTGCTAGTTTGCTACTGCTTTCTTCTGTTAGGTTCCACGCTTGTAACCAATTGTAACCTATATTTTGAAATGGAGATAACAAAGAGATTTTTATTCTATTAAACTCTTCTGTGTTTCTCAATTCCAACTGCACTGTTTTTATTTATTTTACAGTTATTTTTAACACTTATTTTATCGCTATTTCTACACTAACACTAAAAACAATTATTTATTTTATGATATACTTAAAACTTTGTGGATCGTTATCTGGAATTCCCTTGAATGAACTCATTGGATCGTCTACTCGTTTGACAAGTCAGAGTCAGTCAGAGTGCCGTTACATCGAAACAATGTGGAATCCTCGAGACAAGACAGGTTCGGCATAGTCGGTTGTTGATTTAAGTCATTTATACGATAGAAAAACCTAAGCTAAATATTAGTCGACTGTATTATATTTCAAGACAAGCCATGTTCAGTAAATGCTATAAAGCATTTTAAAGTAAATGGTCGATGGTTGAGTCAATATTGAGTTGATTGGTCTTCTACAATTTGATTTGTTTTAATACCAAATTACCTATTTTATTCCATGACATCAAACGTTTATTTCCGCCTAAAAATTTTGTTTTGGGGATATATCTCGCCCCCAATGGAAAAGAGCTTCAAAAAAGTGTTCAAATCCATGCTAATATAGATTAAGTTTTAGAAAATGACTACCAAAATTGTTGGCATAAGTTGTTTTCTATACGCTTTCATTTAAATATTATTTAATAAGTATATTTTTATTATAGCATGGAGCGGATCCTAGTAAGAAAAATCGTGATGGAGCCACTCCGTTAGATTTAGTGCGAGAGAACGATCAAGATGTCGCAGATTTGTTAAAAGGCAATTCAGCGTTACTAGATGCAGCGAAAAAAGGTAACTTAGCGAGAGTTCAAAGACTGGTAACATCAGATAATATCAACTGTAGAGACGCACAGGGTAGAAATTCTACTCCACTACATTTGGCAGGTAAATATTGTAGTTATACTTTTGGGTTATTTGTCCAAAAGGTTCTAGAGTCTGTAAAAGAATTACGCATAGTAATAAATCGAATATCATATTAGTAAACATTTTTGTTATTGCTTTATAGATCGGTTCCTGTAGAAAACATTTCTAATTTCATCCCGCTATTAACATTATTAAATATATTAAAATCGCATAAATGTTATTCGGCCTTTCTTCCAATTTTTTAGATATTTTCAACTAGCCTATTGTTTATATAGAACTAGTATGTTTTTCTGAATAGAGTTGATGTATAAATGCTATTAGGAATATTCTTAAATTATTTACATATAGTGTATTATCTACATATAGTATTACGACACAGTACTCCTAGCTACTAGTCAAGAAGATCTGCAAACACTGCTTGAAAGTGTCGTTGAGAGTTGTAGGGAGGCAGGTCTGGATCTGAACGATCTGATACAAAAACCCAAAATACTCGTAATAAGTAAACAACAGCATATAAAACCGTCTATATATGTAAATAATACCAAACTTGAGCAAGTTGATAAAATCGTTTACCTTGAACAGCAATTAAATTGTAACGCAGAAAGTCACGGCGAAATTAGATCTAGGATAGAGAATGCTAGAGCTGCTTTTAGGATGTCCAAGGTATTATGTAATAGATACCTAAAATTGGCATTGAGGATCCGCCTACTTCGCTGCTACGTGTTCTCAATCTTAGTCTATGGTGTCCAGTCCTGGACTGTGAATAAAATCGATCTAAATCGTCTTGAGGTTGGTGCTATAGAAGAATTTTAAAAGTTTTCTGGGTGGAGAAGATTCGAAACTCCACAATACTAGAACGTCTCAACAAGACTACTGAGAGCATAAAACGCACCAAGCAGAGAAAGCTGGAGTATTTCGGACATATAATGAGAGGTTGCTACAAAATATTATGCAAGGAAAAGTAGCAGGCAAACGCAGTCCAGGACGAAGAAGAACCTCATGGTTGAAGAACTTGCGAGATTGGTATGGTGGTGATACAGGCATCCTATTTAGGGTGGCAGTGAATAAAATTAAGATAGCTTTGATGGTAACGAACGTTCTGAAAGGACATGGTACATGAAGAAGAAGAACAGATGCTATCTTTGGCTCCTTAAATCCACAATTATATCGAGAAAAACAAAAATAAAACTTGACAAAACAATAATACGCACAGTCCTAACATATGGTTCAGAGACCTGGATTCTAACAAAAAGTAATTGAATGAAAACACGTTAAAAACGAAAGAAAATTACTAAGCCGTATCTATGGAGTAGTGAATGACAATGGAACTTCTGTTTTTTTTTTAATTGACTTATGAACTTTGCAAATTTCCTCGTCTATGTTTAATTCCTCATATAACTTTAAATTCGTCGATTTCCTTCCTGATTTGTGTATACAATCTTTTTATATTCGTAAGTTGGTGTATATTGTTTAGTTAAGTTTTCATAACGCTGTTAAATTTGAATTCAACTTTCTGTTGATGACAAGAGAAGTTAGGGGGACCAATAAATATAGTACACATTAAAAGCAATTGTGTATTTAACGTTTATATATTTATTACCATGAATTTTCATTAAGTATATGTCGATTCGATGGATATTAATATTAATCTTTTTTATAGCTGGTTACAACAATGTAGAAGTTGCAGAATTTTTGCTAGAAAATGGAGCAGATGTTAACGCTCAGGATAAAGGCGGTCTCATTCCCTTACACAACGCTTCCAGTTATGGTCATTTGGATATTGCGGCGTTACTAATAAAGTACAACACTGTCGTAAATGCTACTGATAAATGGGGATTCACACCACTACACGAAGCTGCACAAAAAGGACGAACACAACTTTGCGCTTTACTGGTAAGAAATATGACTTTTATTAATATTTTTTTAACTTATCGTAGATTGAATTGTAAAGACAATATCATCCTTTATGTTATCTTCTTCTTCTTAGACTGCCGTCTCCTTACGGAGGTTGGCAATCATAATGGCTATTTTTATTTTAGATATTGCTGCTCTAAACAAATCAATCGATCTACATTGATACCAATCACGTAGATTCTTTAACCATGAGTTCTGCCTTCGGCCAACAGATCTTCTTCCTTGAATTTTTCCCTGTATTATAAGTCTAAAAAATTTCATATGTTGGACCCCTCATCACGTGGCCTAGGTATTCCAGTTTTCTGGTTTGTATAGTGGTGATTAGTTCTATTTCTTTACCAACCCTCTCCAGTACTTCTTTATGTTACCTACTTTATTACAACTAGAATATCAACAATTTCTGCAAAGTTATTATCTTCCTTTTGCTCAAAAAGTTTTGCCGTTCTATAAGAAACGGAATCGCTACTAGTCTAACTTTTTTTTATGTTGTCCTGGTACACACTTTATATGTACGTACGTGAAGTTTCATTTCAATCTGTCAATTAATTCTTTGTTTTCAAGCAATTTAGTATCGACGTATCACAATAATTTTTTGGAAATGAAATAAATCAAGTTGAAAACCAAATCAAGTGCATTTTTATTTTTGGATGGTTTAAAAGAAAAGAAAATTAAACGAATGTTAAAAATGTATGAAGACTCTTCGCCTTCAATCAATACAGTAGAAAGTTGGGTTGCTGACTTTAAACGATGTCGTACAAGCCTTGAAGACGAACCATGTTAAGGACGTCCAAAAACGTCAATAACACCAGAAATCATAGAAAAAATATAGGATATTGTGTTGCAAAATCGCCGAGTGACTGAGCGAGACTAGTAGAAGCCCTAGGCGTCTGATTGGGCAGTATAAGCAATATTTTAACTGAAGTATTGGGTTTCAGAAAGCTGTGTTCACAATGGGTGCTGCATTTATTAACAGTGAAACAAAAACGCGTTCAAATGAGACATTTTCAGCTACATTTAGAGCCTTTTCGAAAGTATATAGTGGATTTTGGGATATCACCATGATCCTGAATTAAAACAAGGGGCTAAAGAATGGTGTGAACCTATCAGATCTCTTGTCTTGGCTTGTTTTGGATCAACAGTTGTGTATAGATGGTAACATGTTTAATGAATCTTGTTGTTCTTTCTTTGCACCATGAGTGGCTTCCAATTATACAGTATACTCCCTCTATAACGAACACGGTTATTACGAGGTTTCTCTTATAACGAGGTACATTAGATGTCCCGTGAAATTTCTATTGAACTCTGACCCTCTATAGCGAGGTAAATTTGGTTATAACTAGAGAAAATAAGATAACTGCCGCCCACAATAAACTTCTTCGGAAATTTACAATTTATGATTCAAAAGTGTCATTGTAGGGGGTTGACCATTCGCACCTAATAATAAGAAGGTTCTAATAGACAACATATGGAAAGTGCTTTAAACGTTGTAAGAAATCCAAAGACAAAACGCAAATGAAGAAGCATACAACTGTTTCACATCTTTAGAAAATATGATTGTCCAGTATTCCAGATAGAATAATGGACACTTTAAAGCAGTCGAAAATGGCAGACTTCTTTCAATTGAAGAAGCAATGGTTTATGTTATCCTTGAAAATACGCTTTATACAGATTTACAGAATACATATTTTTTGTTTTCAACGTATATCATTGACAATAAAAGTACTCTTTTTTGTATTAATGTATTTCATTGACAATAAAAGTAAACAATTTTTTTTTCAAAGACGCCATTCAAACAATATTTAGCATCTTATATTGCCCCGAATGGCTTCACTATAGAAAGTTAATGTTTTAGAAAACTACATATATTAATATGTATGCACAGTATTATTGTTGTTTGATATAATGAGATCGGTTTATAACGAGATAATTAGTCTGCCATTTCAGTTCTCGTTATAGAGGGAGTCTACTGTATAATATATGTGGTTAAGAAATGTTTGATGATATTTAGTAAAGCTGCAATAAATATAATAATACAAATATTTTTTAGTTGGCCCATGGAGCAGATCCTTTTCTGAAAAATCAAGAAGGCCAAGCTCCTGTCGACTTGGCGTCTGCTGATGATGTACGCTGTCTTCTTCAAGATGCAATGGCATCACAACAAGGTGTACTCACGGCATCCGCTCCACCGTCCAGACCTCCATCCATCGCCATGTCGCACACGCCTTCTCCGCCTCTACCATCCACTAATGTAGAAACTGTTATTATGCCTTCTGGCGCAGCTGTTCAACTTCTCGTGCCCGTTGGAAGTAGAGCAAGTGTTTCTATGGCTTCAGTTGAAGGATCTAGTTCTTCTGGAAAACTCGAAGGCGCTGAAGGAGATGACGGAGCCATATGTTCGGTTGCTAATTTCTTGGCTAGTTTAAGTTTGGAACATTTGCTAGATATCTTCGAAAGAGAACAAATTACGTTGGATATTTTAGCGGAAATGTCACATGAAGATTTAAAACAAATAGGAATATCGGCGTACGGTTTTAGGCATAAACTTATTAAAGGCAAGTACTGACTTTCAATGTTCATGCTTCTGTCATATAGCAGTATACTATAGGTTTGTTCCAACACGCCACTTTTGTACGGTTTTAAAACGGTCACGAAACTGTTCAGCATCGATTTTATGTGCATGCTTTATGTGCACCGTTCGCTTACGATGCAAAGAGGAGATTTGTTGGAACGGATTTTGACACTGATCTTAGGACTGGTCATTTGTTTGAATTCTACCCATTTTTTTTTAAAACAGATTGAAAAAATTACAGAAAAACCTTTGTTTATTTGTGTACCTGCCACTTGTCTCTCTTTCCGTATTTTAACCAGAGATAATAAAGACGTTCCTGATTTCTTTGGATATAATGGATAATAATGTAATACTTGATAAGTAAAATTGTTTGCTATTTAAAATAATATTGTGTATGTGTAAACTGCAGATTTATAAGATACATAATTTTTGATCTTTCCATGTCAGGACAATCTAATACAAACATCAAGTTGGTTTATAAGTGAACCGAAAACAATTCCAAATTATTATTACATTTATATATCAAATTCAAACGTAAGCTTAGTACTTTAGAAATAACAAATACCCGAGTACTGTGGCTCAAAATAGCCTAACATTTAAATAAAAATGGTATCTCACTAAAGTAAAATCCAATAATTGTTTAAATAGTTGGAGGATGCTAGAAGGGAATTATAAGAAATTTGTAGATAATCAAAATAAAATGGACGAGTTTGAGTTTGAGTGCGAGAAGGAAATCAGTGAAATTTTTGGACATAAAAATCTATATAAATACCAAAATCTGTAAAAAGACTTAGAAAAAGAACATCTGAATATATATCTGAATATACAGTCATGTAGAAAAATATCGAATATTTTGGAATTTTCTATTTTTTTGTAAATAAATTCTGGTCAATCAAGTTGTTTATTGTGAAACATAGTTTATTTTAACAATGTTTAATGAATAATTTTATAAGTTTTTATGCGGAAAAAATTGTGAAAAAAAAATAATGCCTAATGTTAGGTAAATAAGGTTTTTTTTACTCTAAACTTAAATTGCTTAAACAAGTGATTTTAATTGAAACAAGTGCATGATCAGTAAACGAGTATTCCCACGTCTAGCTCTTAGTATTGCTTGCATCCTTCTCGATATGCTTGCAAGTAAATTTTGGACATATCATTGGAAAATTGCATTCTATTAATCTTGTGCACGAAGCTGCAATACCTGGGGCATGTTATGCGTAATGAGACATACAACCTACTTCAATTGATTATACAAGGGAAAATCCAGGACAAGAGAAGTGTTGGAAGAAGAAGAAGAAGAATATAAGATCAGAATAGCCATAATGATTGCCAACCTCCGTCGCGGAGATGGCACGCGAAGAAGAAGAATTCTGTGCAGCAAGCCGAAGCTGCTCTATCGTATTTTTTTTCCCGGAAAATAAAAAATCCCGGAACGGGATTTTTTTCTCTTCTCTTTCAATTTGAATCTCACTAAGAAATTACTCACTATGGCAGCAGTATGTGGTCGAGCATTATCGTGCATTAAACATGAATCTATTATTTCTTTTGTGTTATTTTTGGCTATTTGTAGCCATTCAATATTCATATCTGTTTAGAGCAGCAAGTTCAAAAATAAAAATAGCCATTATGATTGTCAACCTCCTTAGGTAGACGGTACTCTAAGAAGAACAATCCATTCAGCTTTAGAAAAATAATATTATTTGTTATCAACCAACTAATAATTTCATCTTTCATTGAAGTAGTTGAAGGTTGTTTATTTACAAGGACACTGTGGTAAGAAGCATTATCGCGTGAATAATTACAAAACGTTTACCATCATAACCTCCTGGTTTTCGGACACTTTTGGCACTATTGTATTACCAAGAATTTGTTTTATTTCCTTTGGAGTAAATCCAAGTTTCATCTAAAAACAACTTTTCTTGTAAATACACTTTCAAGATTTTCCATATATTTACGAAGGAATTTGGCTATTTAGAGCAGCAATACTAGTTTGCTCAATTAATTTTCGTCGATTGTCATCCTTTCTGAATTTAAATCCGATGTCTTTTAACAATGTACTAAGCGATGATTTTCCAATATCTACTACTTTTTTATCCCTTAATTGACAGGTTAAACTCAGAGAGAAAAAATAAAAAAAAATAATAATTCATTATCGTTTTTTATAGCCAAAAATAAGTAGATAGAAAATTTCATGCAAATTGAAGTACCTACCCAGGTTCTTGTTTATCATAAAATTCACACTGAATAAATCAATACTTACTCTGTTGGTACATATCATACAACATATTCCGTACTGCCATTTTTGAAGCCTCGGGCATATCAGTCGTCTTACTTTTAAGATTGACGTCTATTTTTGCCTGGTTTTGAAAGGACGGCATTCTTTCCTTTTTATCGAGTATATTGTCCGCCGTGATATATTTAAAGCAGCAACAACTCTCCTAAACAACTGATTAACAAACATCAAACACGCATTTGATATTTTACCTCGTGAACAGATGTAAGAGGCTCGAAACGTCCTCCATTACTTCTTTCTAACCCAAAATATTCATATAAATTCAAAACAAGTTGCTCTTGGGAATTTAGCGTTTTTCCAGGCATATCTTAAAAATAATAATAAGTAATCTCGAAACTTCGTTTAGACGGAACTATACCCAGACTCATGTAGTATAATGACAATTTATAGATTAGAAAATATTACTTTTCTCATTAACTTAAAAATAAATACTTACCGAAAGTAATCAAATTAAGAGAGCAAGAGTTAGTTGTTCTAACAATAATTATGCTTGAAAATATATAATTCAAATGACATACCCAAAGACAAGTTAAATAATTTGAAAAACAAAAAAAAAAAAATTCAAATAAATCAATAAACACGACAAATGAGCTAATGTCACTGTCAATGAAAATTATAAACATCAAAATTTACAGTAAAACAAGGTATCAAAGACATGCCCATATTGTTGATCCTTGTTTAACTTATTGTGATTTCTATGGACAAGCGGCTTAATTTTGCAATACTAGATTCTGTGAGTAAAAAAGAGACCTAGTGTAAAAAGTAATTTATGAATTAGTTTCATGCATGGGAAAAGATAGAGTGGACGTACTATAACATCTTTGTCACCAATTTTTTATAAACTGTGTTTATTCTATAGTTTGTTTCATTCAATTCACTCTTTTATAGGTATGGAGCGTTTGGTGGCTAGTTGTGGGGGTCTTTGGACAACTCCTTCCAATCCTGGAACACTTTTAGTTGATCTCTTATCCGACGACAAAGAATTCATTACTGTAGAGGAAGAAATGCAGAATAGTATTAGGGAACATAGGGACAACGGCCATGCTGGCGGCATTTTCTCCAGATATAATATTATTAGGGTAAGTGTTTTGAAATAACATAATGTTTTGCAAATGAATTTTAAAAGTATTGCCCTATCAAGAGGAATACATCCCAAATTCTATAAAGTGAAAATATGTGGCAAAAACCAGTCGCTTCTATTATAGGTGAATTACTTTCGTCAGAGATATGGTCAATCAATGGAAATTTTCGATTTTCGTTAATGCCATTTCTCACTTATTTCACGAAGAGCATAACTTACATAAATCCTTGGACATAATTAAACCAACTCAAGCATTATTTACAACTATTTGTAGATAAATTTAGTCTCATATTGCTAGTATATTTTAAAAGATTATCATACAAAGGTTTATTTTTTCAGATACAAAAAGTTCAAAATAAAAAATTATGGGAACGGTATACCCATAGAAGAAAAGAAGTTTCCGAAGAAAACAGTAATCAGTCATGCGAAAGAATGCTGTTCCATGGTTCTCCGTTTATCAACGCCATTGTACAAAAAGGTTTCGACGAAAGGCACGCCTACATCGGAGGAATGTTCGGTGCAGGAATATATTTTGCAGAACATTCGTCTAAGAGTAATCAATATGTCTATGGAATTGGAGGAGGCACTGGATGTCCTACGCATAAGGATAGAAGTTGTTACACTTGTCATAGGTAAAGTCTAAAATATGCTCAATTTTAAACGAGTCAGGATATAAAAATAAACACGACAAATATTGTAGTCCTAGTACCTTGTTGGAGATATTGAGATATTCCTCAATTCCTTTGTGTCTAGAACTTTATTTTTTAAATTTCTGTTAATCAATTTCTTTAGATCTTTCTCCACGTCGGACAATCATCTCATTTTACAGTAGCAGCTCGTTGCTACTTTCTGCTACAAATTTTAGTCTTGCATGGCAGCTTATGTGTAAAAGATATGCAAATCAAGATCTTTTAATCTATAGCCATGTAAAGGCAATATTCAACTTGCCAACAGTGAATAAAAAAATTCTTTCATTAAGACTATTGATAGACAATATTTCAAGTAATTTACGTTCTTTAAAATTTCTTGGTGAGCCCACTGAATACTGGGGCACACTTTTAAACTATATAGTATGCAGTAAGTTGGATCCTATTTCTGAATGTGAATGGGACTCAACTAAGCCTCAACACCATACATTTGATCAACTCTTAGAGTTTTTAAAGAAAAGAGCTGACATATTAGAAAATAGAGCATTAAAATCAATGAAAATGAGAACTCACATAAAAAACTATCAAAATTATTAATAGAAGTGTAAAATCATTTGTTTCAACTGAATATGTATGTCAATTCTGTCAAAATTCACACAAAATTTCAAATTGTCCAGAGTTTCTTAATTTATCTGTAAAGCAGACAGCCGATGAGTCAAAAAATCATAAATTATGTTTGAACTGTTTAACATATAGACTATAAATAAAACTTTTAATACGGAAAATGGTCAAAAATAGTGGCTATTCAGCTTCATACACTAACTTTCATAATTAAAGTTTTCCATGGTTTCTTCACATGACTTCAAGGGTACCTTCAAAATCTATCATCATGCATTCTTCTTCTCAGAACATTATGGAGACTCCAAAATGCTTCCATCACTATTTCTTCTTGTTTTTTGATACTCAGGTATTTGCTGTCCAACAGTTACTCTTCTTATTAGTGTGCTCATGGCTGTTATCATTCGTGTAAGGCTATTTTAGACTCTGTTCACAATCAAACTTTATTTCTGATCAACTGAGGCTATAAGTTGGGTACAAAAAGGGAACATGTGAATATTGCTGTTTCTGGTATGCTTTGGTAGTAAGACAGAATTATGTAACCTAATTCCAAGTTTTCCTTAAATACCACTTATTCAATATATCCTCAAAATGTATGTCTAGCAGACCCAATTAAACTTTAAACCATCTAATATTATCTCTTAATTGGTTCTGCTGTGATTGTGAAGATCTTCTCCAGTTGGACAAATTCGTTTTAGGGGCAAAATATGCCAGTTTCTTCAAAAAACAAAATTCACTGGATCATTTCAGTCTATTGCCACTTTCCTCATACAAATAATATTAATTGTAATTTTTTCTCAAATGTGTGAGTCACAGTAACTTTCTCGTTTTTGGGAAATAGATGAGTGTTCTACTTCAGTCCAAAATTGTCAGAGAGAACAGCAGGTGAACAGCTCATCATCTGAACATTCAAAAGAAGTTCCAATTGCAGAATCATAAATGTCTATTCCTCTTAAATAAATCTCCGAACAATAGGTGACTCCAGCAATCGATTCAAAACGTTTTAAAGCATAGAAAGAAGGTTTCAAAACAATTCCACTCTTAAATCAGCCTTATGCAAATTTCATTCAAGAGTCTACAGATCTAGGGCACATGTAAAAAATCTCCTATAATTTCTTCTTCAAGTATATCTTACTTTCTTCCACATCATGCAGTTTTCTTAAAGGAAGATAGTTTGACTACTAAGGCTACGTGACGTCTTTGACGGATCTTCCACTTCATTCTACTGGGATGACTCATTAAATGATCTTTAAATGTGTTGTCCCTAAATTTCAAAGCGACTTAATTCAAATACTTTTTTGCTCAGGTAGCATTCAATTGTAATTTCTTGCGGAACATAGTCAAAATATTCTGACAAGTTCTCAATGCTCCGAACAGCGAAACCCCAAAGATCTTATGGCAATTTGATCAATTAGAAGATTTATGTAAATATCGGCTAAAGGACAGTTTCATATGGTACTGCAGCTGCTTCATTCCTTTTCTACTAATTCTTCTACAACTTCCAATAGAATCTGCCACAGAGTTTCCTGAGCATCGATCATAAATATCTACAGATTTCTATGTAGAAGAATCTTCTAACAGGATCTGATTCTTCGTTCGGATCTCTCACGTATAAGCTCCGAAATTACTACCATCTTGATCGTGGTTGTTTTCTACTTCGTAATATGGGTTTCCTAATATCCTAACATCATCATCAGTATTAATTCTTCTTATATCTCTTCTACTGTACTGATACTGAAAAACGTAAGGTATTCTGTGGTTTTATGAGTACAGATACCCTCATGTAATCATTAAATGAAACCCACATCTAATTTGGTAACTAAAACATATCAATCTTTCTTCAATTCATACATCTACGATCTTTTGAGTCTTCTTGCACCTTATGGAATAAAGGTAAAAATATTAATTCAAAAATTGTGGTTGAAGCAGTTGGATTGGGATCAGTCAGTATGTCAGTCACAATGGTCATCGTTCAAACGCAACTTTCTTTTCTAAATGAACTTGAGATAGTCCGCAATTTTCAAATGCCGAAAGCTATAGGCTTGAGTTGCACGGATTTTCTGATTCTTCAGAACAAGCCTGTGGAAGCTTGTATATATGTTCGTAGAGTAAATTTTTTCTGTAGTTGTTTGTCTCAATCTTCTTTGTACAAAAAGCAAAGTTGCACCTGTTAAGAAAATAAGTCTTCCTTGGATTACAATTCATGGTAAAAACACTGCTAAGGCTGTTGTTCGTAACTGTGTAACTTGTTTATAAGGCCCATCCTTCTTCTGATTAATCCAATAAAGCGCGATCTTCCTGGCAGCTCGTGTCACATCACCTTCATTTCTTTCGCTGTATTGGGTCGATTATGCCGTCCCGTTTTCTTTCTTAAAGACCAGATAAAGTTTAATTATGATAAAGATAAAATTAACGGATGAATGCAATTCATCACAAAATTTCTTGGAAATTGATTCCATGAATATACCCTCCACTTTCGTTGTATTGTGGGATTCAGGGGTCAATCAATGAAATCACATATGAAAAGATTTTTCTCCAATTCTTTACAGACTTATGGTAGATTTCAAAACAATTCCTTGTTCAAATATAAGGAATAACTAAATTCCTAGACCTCTTTCCCCTCTTTCATGATCCCTTCCGATTTAGATCCGCTAACACGTTCACACTTAATTGGCGAACAAATCAAGTCAATTCCTTGAAGTCGACATAAACCAATGAAAGGGAAACTCTACAACAGTTTATCACGAAAGGCTCTCAATCCTTCAACTTTCTGGAAACGGTCTTCAGAATATAATTCAGAACTTCAGCAGAGGCAGAAGTGGAAGGTGAATCGTTCAAAAACGTCAAGATAAATACCTTCGTTCTCATCAAACACAGGCAACTACCATCCAAGAAACTAATTTCCAGAACACCCCTATTGCTCTCAGTCTTTCGTGCACTTAATTTCAAGAACAAGTTCTCATATGCATTTATTACATGTCTTTGAATGATTTTGTCTGTAATGCAGGAGAAATTTTTGGGATTTCTTTTCCATATCTTGGCTATTCTGAGGGTTAATTTATAAGTAGTAATAAACTTATGTGCATTACTGCGTCATCCCTAAATGATGTTGAATGTGGTTTAATCGGAACAATTTACTAAAATTTCTGCAACTCTCTGAGGTTTTAAACTATAAGAACCTTTTGACAATCGATAAAAAGTTGATATCAGTATTAACATTGCAACTATAAAAAATGAATGTCCAGCAAAAACTGCTTTTATTCCTATTCTTGATTTTTTTTGTTTATCGAGCGAATCTTTAGTTCTTGGAATATTTAGTGATTTAACAAGTTTTTAGTAATTAAAGAAGATTTTCATTATAACTAAAAAATTTTTTTAAAATTATTTAGATTTCTTTCTAAAATAAGATTTACTGTTTTGCAGGCATCTTCTATTATGCCGCGTAACGTTAGGAAAATCTTTTCTTCAATTCAGTGCTATGAAGATGGCTCATGCTCCTCCTGGACATCACTCTGTCGCAGGGCGACCATCAGCAGGCGGATTAAATTTTCCAGAGTACGTTGTTTATAGGGGAGAACAAGCGTATCCCGAATATTTTATTACCTACCAAATCGTCAAACCAGAAGAGTGTTCGTCGAGTACTGATACTGAAGTCAGGTAAAGTAAAAGAATATTAATGTAATTTACAAACTGTGTTTTTTTATAAGCCGTTTTTAGTAGAACAATATTTTCTCTAGTTAACTACATATGTTCAAATATTTCATTAATAAAAAAATAAGCCTCGAATCCGGGATCCCTCGTATCCAAATACGAATTAAAAAAATCTTTACGTTGGTCTTGAACAAAATTCGCATTGGTCTTGGCGTTTATTTCATTTTTTCCATTAACTCAACAGTCAGCAAATTTTCATCATATGATTTCATTTTAATCTCGGTCCCCCCCAAGGTGGCCGTGCCACATATTTCAGTTGTGGTGTGGACATAGGGGTTTATCTGTGGAAGATATATTTTTAATGTTCGCAATTTTTATTGCTTCTCTCATATTTTCTCTATCTCTTTCTACCGACTTTCTAACAAACATTTTAACCATTTTTCTGCCTCAATATTAACAATTTTTTTTAGAAACTAGTCGGTAAGAGGGCAACGAGAAGAAAAACCCATTAATTGATTCAATAGCCGAAATTTCGACGTCTTTTTTTGAGTCTTTTACTGAAAGTACGAGTACATACTTGGTATGAAATGACAATAAAAATCAAATAAAACTACCTATAACTACTGAAAAGCGTGTCCTTCTACAGTAGGAAGTAAAAAGCAAATAAGTAGTCGTCATTGTACAGTAAGTAATGATACAAACTGTACTAAAATTAACATTTACAAAATCTAATTACAAAAAATTAATAAACCTTGAAAGTTGCGTTATATATGGGTTTCATGCAATCCACATAAACCTGGCATCTGAATTATAATTATCTTTGGGCGTCACAGTGTTGCCATAATTTTTTGTATAATGTATACGAGTATTTACAATAAAAAGATACTTTAACGAAATTAAAATTTTATGTTATAGAAAGCCAAAATTTTTGAATTTTATTAATATTAAAAAGCATATAAAAAAATATTTTTTTTACTTTAAATGTAGCTTAATATTGTAAATTATTTTGTAAATTGATTTACAATATTTAGTGTAGTTCAATTTAAGTTTAATTTAATTTAGTATATTCTTTTGTTTAACTCATTTTTTATCTTCGTTTATGTTTTTTATGTATTGTATGTTATGTTGTATGTTTATTTATGTATCAGTTTACTCTATAGTTTCTAAACTATTAATTTTTATAGGTATAATGGTAATGCTTTTTATTATATATCTATTTTTTCACGTTTTTGTTTGTTTTTAATTTATATAAGTTTTTAATTTGTATAAGTTCTCTTGTCCAATTTTTAATTTTAGATGTGAGAGTATAATATAATTGACGATATGGCAACGCTGACGTTTGTTAAGTATTGAATGTCAAATATATCTATAGGTTAAGTTCAGTGTAGAAAACCCATATTTAACTGGAAGTTGCTTGTCGTTTTAATTTACACATTATTAACAAAATTTGTTTTTTATAACAATAACCCTTTTTTTTGTTCGAAATAAAAATTCACGTCAGAGAGGTCAGTCCAATGACTGGACCTCTGGTATGGAACAAATATGACATTCCGATATTATGCTATATACATACACTTCACATTTACAAACAATACCTATATATTATATCTAAAATACATATAGAAATTACAGTGAGTTAGAAACACATATTTATAATCTGTTCTAAAACGATTTTAACGTAGTAATCTTTAGAGTTGTTGACTGTTATCAAGAAAATTTAATTGCAAGGGCATGTGGTATGGGTTTTTCTAGACGTGTATAGATACCGTGACACTGGCATTGAACTATCATTTTCACTGATCGTAGGTATATTCTAAATCACAATAATATGGCACGAATCCATCCACTGGGGCGTCTGATATAGAGTGTATTACGTTTGATTGAAAGTCTGTTCTTTATGTACTAAGCATTTGGATGTTGTGCTGCTGTACCCCATAGCTGGTACCTGAGGTTGACGACCGGTTTTGTTCGCATTTTGCATGGTCCATAGTGGTTGGCCATATGGTGTTTTGGTACTACATAAGATAGCTATGTTGTATTTGTTTAGTGTTATCCGTAGTGTAAAATGGTAGGTTTTAGTATCGGTCAAGATTTTGAATCATGTTTAGCAGATTTAAGTTGAAATTGCTGGGGTATCCACTAGCATGGTTGATTTTGGGTTGTAGTTAACAGTTGGTGAATAATATAATTAACTGGGGGGGACGCGCCGCTACTGCATTATTTGGTCTTTTAGTATTTTAATTTACGAGTACAGAAACAGTTTCATTAATTGTTGTGTTATATATTTAAATTTCTTTAAAAAGGATTGTGCCATATTTTTAAATCACTTGTCGTCTGGAATGAGTGGTGAACTAAAAGTGCCTTATTTTATTTGCCCAAGTTATTATTAATCCCCCACAATTAAATTTTTATCAAAACTAAATCAAAACTTCAAGAATGAAATAAAGAGAGGTTGTTTCTTAATAGCAATGTGCATACATTTACGTTCTTTTTTCTTTGGAACTGCCGTTTTGTTTGACCGTATGGTATATCGAATATGTCTTTTGATATTTGACGTAGATATATCATACGCTGGGCAATATATGGGCACAATTTTTTAATAAAAATACATTATTTATTTTAAAATGGTTTACAACGTGATAAGATTGGACAGAAACATTGCGCGACCTTGAAGTTCAACTTTACATTTACGGTATAGTTATCTGGTACTGTTTGCCACAGTTGCTGCACCGTCGTTGTTTTTTCAATTTGTCCGCTAAATAATCCAACATTATACAAACGATGTTCGTCAGCAACATGTTTTGAGAGTTTTCGACGTACTCCACTGACGTTGTGCATGAATAACTGGAGCTGTCATCACTCCTCCACAATTCCGCCTGTAAAATTCTAATAAAGAAATGACTAATGTTGCGGTAAAGAACCACATGGTTGACTATTGCCTCTATTCAAGCAAATAATTATATATCGCCCAGATACCATTATTTTAGAGCGTATCCTAATCCTTTAAAATCTCTTAGGAGCCATTGGTAGTGACGCTATCATTACTCGATTGTTATTCAAATATTTAATTAAAATCAAAGACGGTTACATTGTTGGGGTTAGATGACTGAATTTTGTTGTTTGTGTCAAGTTATTATTTTTTCGATTTAATTAGATTATCTAATTATAGTTCGGATTGTTAAATAAACCTATAATTAAATTCTCTTCTGGGCTGATTCTAAGAATAACGAAGATAAAGGAATCTTCCCGGGAGCGCAAAATCGGTCGGGTTCGCGCATGCCGTCATTGGAGACTAGAATTTGAAATTCTTGTTAAAGTTAAATGAGATTTGTATCATTCTGTGATGAAATAACTAGACGAAAATAAGTTAAGAGGTTTAGTAATTACAATAATCGTACACATAAGGATATCTCCAAACTATTTATTAAAGATTATTTATTGATATATACAAAAACTGACATTTCGAACGTGCAAAGTCTCCAATGACGTCACAAAAACATGCGCATATCTTATCTTATAGTCATAGGTATCATGTTTATTGTGTGTTAAGTTTCGATGTTTTTATTTAGAAATCAATAAGTAATAAATGAAACTTATTTTAATATTTTTTGACAGGATCGCTGTGACGTATGTGAATTGGAAATTAAATGATTTGATTACAATCCAGAGGCCGTGAATTGCGGTGCGTAAACAATCGTCCCCTAAGATTATCGAGCCTAAGGCTACACCACCCCATTTCCTGGTTATACATTTTGCTGCGACCGAACGTGGGGTGTAAGGACTGCTTATAATTTTTTCCTGTCATTTTTCTGGACCATTCTGTTACAGTTTCCCTAGTAGAATAGTGGTCTGAGTTGTAAAATATTAGTTGCCATAAGTAAACTTACTTTAAAGTCCAACTCAACAAGAGTGAGCTGATGGGTCTTCGCTATATTAGACCGTGTGGAAGTTCCCATCGAATTTGTTTTTGGTAGGTATTTGAGTGGGGCTCTTGTCAATCCTGTCCACATTTGTCTAATTCTGCCTGATACAGTCTATCTTTTGTTCTTTCATCCTTGCTCAGTAAATGTAAAGATGGTAAAAAAAAGAATCAATAGGAGATTGACAGATCTCTTTTGGTAAAAACCCTGTACACCTGCTTTCGGTGTACGGAACTTCCCTAACGAGTTATGTTCCTGTATCTTTGATCTCCACTTCCAGTATTGGGATGAAATTTTGCTAGTACACCCTTTTATTTGGTCGCAAACGCTCCAGAATTTAGAGCCATAACGGGACAGAGTATTTTCCTCGAATAAACTGCGTGTCATTGAAGGATGGTCCCTTATACGGCTCCATGGCTGCCGTCCTCTGAAAAACTTCCGTTTACTGACTGACGATTAGGATGCGAAAAACGGTTTATGTAGATAATCAATTAGGGGTTGAAACTTGAATGCTTTTGGGTTTGTTTTGGTACACAACATATTATCGTTTAAAGTGTAAAAATCTATGGATCTGTTCATATCTGTTTTCGACTCATATTATTACTAACTAGATGTTAGTGAAGAGTCCCACTCGACAGGCCCCCCCAAGACATTCTCGGAGGAAGGCAACGAGGTGGGTATCCATGAGTAAGGATGCCAAAGTATGTATATACATCAACCGACAAAGAGAAAGCATGGTTTTTGTGAAGCATACTTTACCGTTTCTTTACAAAGATAGTCCATGAATTTTTCATCAAAAATAATTTTAAACACATCGATTGGCTTCAAACTTTGTCGTTTCCATTCATTTAGTCTATGGGGTTCCATATTGTTTTTGAAAATATCATTGATGGCTCCTTTTTCCAGTTTTTTTCTTTCCACGTACAATCGATTCTTTTCATAGATTCTTCTTTTGTTACCTGATTGGCGAGTGTCAGTCACAGTTGTATTTGACAGCACTGTTTTCTCAATTGCTATATTTTTTTCGAGAAAATATGTAATATCCATGCTTTGAGAGAGTGTACCTCAGCCAATACTTTGAAAAGTGTAATTGAACTGGTCTTCCTAATCTCTTCCGGCATCATCTCTGTCAGAATCATTTCCGTCTTTTGGATAATGCAACGTGAGTTGAACTTCGTTATACTGGTCAATTTATTGAGCCAAAGTACATATCGTCATCTTCTAAACTCTCATATATTTTTAATAATTCCTCTGCATCTTTGAGATTATTAGGATCATATGTTTTCGTCATTTTTTTTTTAACAGAAACATTATTTGTTGAACATTACAAAATATTTTTCAAAAAGTCCTACAAACTCTTCTAAAATGAGTTTGTAGTAAAAAAGAAAACACAAAACTAATCACCCTGTACCGCCAAACGGTGATAAATTTTTAATGTTATAATAAACAGATACCTTCTAACATCTACTTTGTAACTTATATTGGGAAAAGACGAATGTTTATTTTTTTCTGACTAGTAGATGGCAAAATATGTAGCAGTGTCTCGCATATTGCATAAAATACGGTGGGCATTAATGGGTTAATGTGATTTTTTTGAATGCCGCACGTAAACTACAGCAAAAAGATGTCGACAATTATATTAAAATTATTAATAATAATTGTTTTAATTTTAGGTGATTTCCGGAGCAGTGGCTGATGCTTCGACCAACCAAGACGTTTAAAGATTATATCTGCGGATTGTTGTGCCACGCTTTACGCTGTCTAGCACCAGCAAGAAAGCAGTGTAGTTGTCAGGAGAGTAAATAACCAAGTTGGAAAGATAAAATTTTTAATAGGTTACGCAGTGCTGTACTAGATATGTTTTTACTGTTCGCGCAATGCCTTAGACATGATTTTTGCCAAAGGGTAGTTGTTGAGGATGTTTAAAATTGTTTGATGCAGCATTAAAAGTTAAAACATTTGGTTGGATGGCAATATTTGTATTACCTTTAAACGAAAACAACTTTTTGTAACGTTGCTACCAATTATTGTACACTGTCAGTATATTATAGCTTCTGTACTAATAGGTAAAAGACATAATAAATAAGACTTACTCACAATCAGTTTAATTTAACTATCTAGACGACCGGTTTCGCTTTCTACAATATGCAAAGCATCTTCAGGTCCTTCGATACAAATAATAGAGTACCGACATCGTTTACTTAATTTTGTATCGACAGACCTGAAGTGAAAGCATAGAAAGCGAAACCGGTCATCTAGATAGTTAAATTAAACTGATTGTAAGTCTTTTTATTATTTCTTTTACCTATTTGAAATGGACTCACACAAGCAACACACTTCTGTACTAAATTTGAATCCAGTAAAAATATTTTCCCGACTAAGATGTAGAATGTGCCAATTGCCGGACGCATGTTTATTTGTTCACTGCCAAATAAAACATCGTGTGCCTCGAAAATGGTGCCCACGAAATTAAGCTGGTAATTTGTGAGTATCTCCGTTAGAATTTATTAATACTTTTTCATTGGTACATTGGCTGTTACGATACCTGCGAACATATTTTAATTCCTTATGTGTTCTTTGGGCCTAAGTCAATGTATTTTATAAATAGGTTAAAGAAATTTACTAAACTGGGTAATCTAAAACATTTTTGTGAACTCTGACGTTACTGTCGATTTATAATGTACAGGGTGGTCCTTAAGTAAGTGTACACTTTAAAATATTACGATTTAAGCCAAATTGCTTTAATAAAATGTTGATATTAAACAAGATACAAGGTGTTAAAGTGGAAATTTAAAATTTTAATTTCCGCTATAACTTTTATGTTTGTGAACATTTATGTGTAACAATCCGTAACTTCCACATATGTGGCATACATTTGCACTTAACTTTTTGCTCTTTAAGCTACCGGTGTTTATAATAAAAATTTTAAAGATACATTGTTTTAACAAAAAAAGGTATACTTGTTAATTACTTCAAAACTCAACAGTTTTCGAGATAATCGCATTTTATAAATCAACTACATAATTCTGATTTAACGCAATTACTCCAGGCAACGAAAGAAAATTAGACAAAAACGTCAATACTTCTGAATTTTGCTATAAAATACCTTTAATAAAGTTAAAAGTTAACAAAACATTAAATAAAATAAATATATCGGCAGGATAGTTAATAGTAGGATTTGACAAAATAACAGAATAATTGGATTTTACATAAAACATTTACGTTTTACGTTTTATATTAAATTAAAGTCATAATCAAAATATTTTATTTATAAACCAAATTAAGAAATAGTTAAACTAAATAACATTAAACTTTTTGTCAAAGTAAGTGTTCGATAGGTCCACCATTCTCTTTAATTCATTTGTCAATACATTCCATAAAAGATCCTCTCATATTGAAAGGCATCATTGGTTCTAAAAAAACTGCTGCAGTATTTATAAGTATTATAAGTATAATATATAATAAATATATAAAATATTCGTTTGTGATATTTTTCTGAATTAAATAATTATATTAATATCTCACCACATGACCAAGGAATATGACAACCACGAACAATCCAAAGTTCAGGAAAGTTGTATTTAATTATGTTCTCACTGCCCTCTCTCTATAATGTGGTGATGTACCATCTTGCATAAACCATATAATTCGCCTTAAGTTTGATGACAATTCTTTTAATAAATCAATAAAATAATTTTATAGAAAATGTAAATAAATCTTAGCATTCAAATTATAAGGTAATTCGCATGTCCGTAAAAAATAATTACAAATGGTACCAAACCGTACTATATGCATTTTAAACATGAATTTTAAGTGAACGTATGGTTTGGAACCATTCTTACTTATTTTTTACGGACATGGGAATTACCTTGTAATTTGAATGGTGAGATTTATTTACATTTTTTATAAAATGATTTTATTAATTTTTTTGGAAGAATTCTAATCAAACTTAAGGCGAAATATGTGGTTTATGCAAGATGGTACACAATCACATCAAAGAGAGAGGGCAGTGGGAACATACTTAAATACAACCTTCCTGAACGTTGGATTGTTCGTGGTAGTCATATTCCTTGGTCAGGTGGTGAGGTATTAACATAATTATTTAATTCATAAAAAACCCAAAAGATTACATATTAATATACATAATAATACTTATAATAAATACTGCAGCAGTTTCTTTAGAACCAATGAGGCTATTTAATATGAGACGATCTTATATGGAATGTATTGACAAATGAATTAAAGAAAATGGTGGACATATCAAACACTTACTTTGACAAAAAGTTTAATGTTATTTAGTTTAACTATTTCTAATTTGGTTTGTAAATAAAATGTTTTGATTATGACTTTAATTTAATATAAAACGTAAAATGTTTTATGTAAAATCCAATCATTCTGTTATTTTGTCAAATCCTATTGCAAATTATCCTGCTGATATATTTATTTTATTTAATATTTCGTTAACTATTTACTTTATTAAAAGCATTTTATACCAACATTGGAAGTATTGATGTTTTTATCTAATCTTCTTTCGTTGCCTGGAGTAATTGCGTTAAATCGCGTTATGTAGTTGATTTGTAAAATGCGATTATCTCGAAAAGTGTTGAGTTTTGAAGTTATTAACAAGTGTATATAATAAAGTATGCATCAAATTATAATTCCTGATGTTTAGTAGTACCCAGTTATGAGTTTTGATACATAAATGTTTACAAACATGAAAGTTGTAGCGAAAATTAAAATTTTAAATTTCCACTTTAACACCCTGTATCTTTCTTAATATCAACATGGTATTAAAGTAATATTTTAAAGTGTAGAATCTGCGGTTTCTTTTTGTGCAATTACTTAAGGACCACCCTGTATAAGCTGTGAAGATAATATCACGTTCGGGATATATTTTTTTTTTCATTTCCTCAATCAAAAATTTTCTGGTTTCATAATTTTTGACCATATAACTTTTAATGCTGAAATCACACAAATTTTTCTGTATCTATTACAGTTTTAACTATACTTATCCACAAACGGATATATTCGATTTTTTTAATATCATCTTTGTTCAGTTATTAATGAATAATTAGGATTTTAATTAAATTTTACCCCTAATATATACTCAATTACAGAGTTGAAAATTTGATGGTTTTAGGATGTTTTCTAACAATGTTATTACTGCGCAACCTATTGGCGCAGTTTTCCGATGGTCTTATGAAATATTAAAAATCTAAACCCGAATAAAACTTTTCCTAATGATTGTTGGTGTTCACGTTTGTGGATATTATTTTAAAAAAACTTAAATTAGATCTTTCTGAGACTTATAATATCGGAAATTATATCATTAAGGCTTTTCGCTTTAATACGACTGATAGCTGCGTAGATATTCAAAATTTTATCTTCTTACTTACTTAAGTGTGCGGTTGTCGCGTTCGAAAAGTATTGCGAGATTTTTTTGAAATTAATTTTGTACATTTTTATTATAAGGAATCAAACACTGTATGGAGTAGTATCCGTTGTTTAATAACTTTATAAACAGTTTTATCGATTAACGTAAACATGTTTAATATTAGTCGAATATACGTATATTGGATTTTGATTTGCTTTACTGATTATTGTTTCTCTGATCTTGGGATCGATCTTAAACCAGCTGAAAAAGTTGTGGATATATCAGGAAAAACTATAGTACGCATCCCTTTTCTTCATTCTTGTATTCTGAATATCCCGAAAAGTATTATATCTATGACAAAAATGAATAAAAGTAAAATTGTTGTCAATTAAATCTCTTATTAAACGTTGTTAATGCAATTTGAAAAAAAAAGTCTGCGCATAGAAATTAATTAATATCTTGTTTGAAACTTGATAGAGTCAAGCAGGTCATGCTCACCAAAAGTTTTCAGTTTCTCAAGACTCAACAATCAATTGTTTCAGTGTTGAAGAGCTTCAAAGTGTCGTCTTTAGTCCCTTTTTTCGAAAAGTGTCGTCCCTCAGATTCAATATACCTTAGCTGAATCTCAATAAACTAATATAGGATCTGAATGACATTTTTTAATGTTGCCCTGTGAAAAAAGTGAGATATCCTGGGTAGGATGTGTTTGTTCTTAAGCTTTTTTTATAAATACGTCCGTGTTAATAACAATTTCCTTTCAAATAACAGTAACATCTCTTTTCTTAAAGAAAAAAAATTCAATTTTTCAATTCAATAAAAAAAAAGGCATTTACCTGAACTCAACCAGCGTAACTGCTTCAAATATATTTATACCTTTGGTCCCGTCTTCCATGTGGTGCAGTTTTATAAGTTCCTCAGTTACACAAAAATCTTCACTGATGCATCTAACAAAAATTAGTAACTGATTTTTGTCAGTAATATCAACAGATTCGTCCAGCGCTAAAGAGTAGTACAAATAATTACGAACTGTGTTGACCATTTTTTTAAATACATGAGTATTCAGCTCATTAACTCTTCTAGATAAAGTTTGATGGGAAACTGATACAAACTCAAAATTTTCGACCATCTTTTCATCTCCAAAGGATCGCGCCATTTTAACCGCACACCGCTTGATCATTTCTCCATCTCTAAATGCTTTTTACTTTTGACAAGCTCTAAACATACTTCATATGATGCTGCTAAACTTGATGATTGAACATTCGTAAATAGAGATTTTTGTTGATTTAATTTAGCTTTAAGTTCTTTTACAAGAGTATTGCGAACTTTACCTTGATATTTGTCGTATTTTGTTTTGTGCTGGGTAGCTTGTATCTGTGTTCTATCTCTGTCCCTTCGATGCTTATCATAGGTTTGTCATCTTTGTTTGACATTAGTTTAGTTTTGCTGAAAACTGAAACGTGTATACTTCATCTATTATCTTTGCCTGCATAATTGAAAATTAACACTAGTCATAGAAAATTCTCTAATACAAAATAGAAAGAAGTATTGTTTGATGTTGGCCACTTAAGTAAAATAAACGTTGTAGGTTCAAAAACGTTTGATAAAAGTGCTGGAAGCATTTATAAAGAAAACGGGAACTTTATTAACTTTGTTGGTATTTATTATTTTGCAAAGTTAAATTTAGCTTGTATTTAAATCTATGTTAAGTTGGTTTTCTTCCCAACTGTTTTCAGCAACGTTTTTACTATATCTTTGTTATTTTCTGTGCAAAACTAATTATTGATTGCGATACTACAACATATGTTTGATTCTTCGTAATTTTAGATCAAGAAC